CGAATAACGTTAGGGACATTTTTAGATGGATAGTAAGGGAGGGAAAAGTTAATTCATGCATAATAGAGGGACATATTTGAACGGCCAAAGCAATACAAACGCATCTTACATGGTTAGGCATCAAATATTAGTGCTCCAGTTTTAGTGCTTCAAACAGAGAACTTCACTATTTCAAACATTATTGGTTTATTAGCCGTAGACTAGAAACACAGAACAAGCATTCAATAGTTAACAAGAAAACAAAGCAGAAAGAGATTGAATAGTATAATAGACCAAATATATATATGCTGTTTTTGTCGAGTATATTTTCAGTAACAATGGTTTTTACAATACAAATGGCCATGTATTATTTTTCCAGAAAGAACAAAATAATCTACTGTATTCTTTCTTTTTTTGGGTAGGCCAAACCAAAATCAGCATTGTTGACAATTGTGTGAAATACTTCTACGTTGCGTAATCCCTCTGTGCGAATTAATTAACTAGCTGCTGCCTTTTATTTAATTTCTTTGCTTTTGGCAGTAGGTTATAACAATTCACAGCTGAATACTTGCCAATGTACTGAAGTTGATGGGTGTGACAAATTCCTGTCCACTTGCATAAAGAAGAGACAAAGCTGCCTTTTCAGATGCTTTCTGAGTTGGATGAACAAGTATTTGTCGCGCTTCTCGCAAACATCAGATTTTGGAGTACATTTACTTTTTCCTCCGAAAGGTCCTGTCCCACAGCACCCTGATTCAACTTCTTCAAAACCTACCCCATCACAAGTAAACAATTAGTACTACTCATAGTTTGTTGGCCTTCTTTTGAGGCAAAAGTTTTTTTTTTTTTTTTTTTTGTTAAAAGTGTTTTTTTCTAAAATTAAAGTGTTTGGCTAAGCTTTTGAAAGAAAAAAAGTAACTTTGGGAAAAAGAAGAAGTTTTGGGGAAGCAGAAAAAGTAGCTCCTCTTTAAAAGTACTTTTTTGAAAAACACTTTTGAAAAAAATACACTTAAAAACAGTAACACTAATTGCTGCTCAGAAGTGTTTTTCAAATTAATTAGTCAAACACAAACTTCTTCTCACCAAAAGTACTTTTGAGAAAAGCACTTTTGAAAAAAAAAAACACTTCTCAAAATAAGCTGATTTTTTCGGCCTGGTCAAACGGGCTATCAATTTTAAATGTATTGACGCGCACACACATTATTAATGGTACTAGCTAATTATAAAGATTGTTTGACTAAAATAACTTTTTATCTCTAATTAAAAACAGTAATAATTGTTGAGAGACTCTTTTAAAAAATTAATTTTGTGGATTATTTATAGGAGCAACAGTAGATTGAAACAATAATTATGCCTTCTTAATTTTCTAAAGTAACACTTGTTTTGGACCAAAGTTGTGTGGCTAAAATGACATTTAAAATGAAGATAATAATATTCTTATCTCTAGTTTTCAAGGATTAATAGGATATTCTTATCTCGAGTATCCGTTTTTTGATATTGATGACAATAAAATACAGTTGAATTTTTGTGAGTGAAAACTTTTTTTCCTCTTATTTATAAAACTTAAAACACTTTTAACATCTGTTTTCCAAATATCTTCATGTTCAAACATCAACCGATTGATTCAAGTCCAAACGGGGATGAACAACTCAGTTTCCCAAATTAGGGTATATTCACGAGTTTGCACCCACTTATTCCTTGATTTAATCTGAAATAGTTATATCAATAATTACCTGATGCAACTGCATTATCAATGACACTCATCAAGTAAGAATTTCCAAGTGAAAATTGTTGGACTTAAGCATTGGGTTTTAAAGACTTTAAGCATTGGGCTTTAAAAGTCTAAGAGTGTGAATTGAAAATGGTGGGAAATAAAATGGAGGGAAATAAAAATTTGAATAAAATGAGCTTTTGTCTTGAACTTTGTCCCTCATTGGTGAGGGACAACTACATTTGTGTGTATATATATAGGATCACTTCTTAGAGCTCTTAAAAGGAGTTGAAGAGAATGAACACTCGCGCTGTCGTCGTCGCTTGCTCGGCTCGGCTTCGGCTTTGGATTTATAAGATTATTTTTTGGACAAAATTTATTTAATTAATTAAAAGTCAGTCAGTTAATTAACGAAATTAACTGAAATCTGAAATCCAAAAACGCTGAACGTTAATTTTTCCCTTTTGAATAAACACTTTTCCTGAACAGACATCACACCTCTTCCGATAATTGCCTATAAATTCTAAGGCATGGCTGCATTTTCGATACACTGAAAAATTACAGAACTTCCTTCCTTCTGAAAATCCTGCATTCTATTTCGCAGAATCTCTTCTAAATTCGTAAGTGTGATTTTGCTCCGTTCTTTGAGTTGTTGGTATCCTGCAGTTTGTATTGCCACTGTTGCAGGAAGGTTTATTCCGTTTCATCCTGGGAGGATTTAATCCATTACCTTGGCAACGTGTGAGGGGGTTAAAATTCTTTAAGGACGCACAAGCAAATTGTGGACTCGGAATATCTTTTATACTTTACTGTTTTTCCAGTTTTTTCTTCTAACAGTGTTTCTGATTTTGTGTTTTAACACAGTAGCGTTTACAAAAATTTCACTCCTGGATTTTTTGAGCTGAATTTTTGCAGCAAGCTGAGTGTTGTATAAATTATTAAGTGTCTCATTACAGGCTCCACCAGTGTTACACTACGTATAGCCGGACAGCATCCAATCGTTGGAATGCTCACAATTCCAAATTTCCTTGCACCTAGATTATATAAATGCTGCATTTAAATTAACCAAAAAAATCTTTCAACTTTTCATAGTAAAAGGACATAGAAGACCATATAATACTGCAGTAATGAGAAACTACGAAACAAAAGTTAACTTACCGAAACTAAATCGAAGCTACGAAACAAAATTAACTTACCGAAACTAAATCGATTAAGCTGCTGTGTTTGGTACGATGGAAATTATTTTCCAGAGAGTTATTCTAAGGGAAATAATAAATAAAAATATTATTATTTTTTTGGTAAGTAAAAAATTTTTATTTACCAGTATCGATATTTACAGACCAAAGCAAACTGAGCCTAGACATACCCAAGGCTCATAACATCTCTAACTACTCATCTCCTATACTTCTATGGATAAAAATTTAATGTCTCAAGCTTCTTTACTAGTCTATTCTTCATCCGCCCTCTACTTGTCACCTCTTGAACAATATGCCTCACTAGCACTTCTTTGAGTTGTTGTCCTTGAAATACTCGCATAATCCTTTCTCTCCATATATGATATACCACACAAGCCAGCGTTACTCTATACAACTGTGCTTCTGGACTTCTACCCTTTGCATTCCTTTCTGCCCATTCAATTTTCTTCTGCCAGTCTAGAGCATCTCTCGAAATGCCTTGCCATTTTAGAATCTTTTCCCAGACCTCTTTGGATACCACACAGCTAAAGAACAAATGATTCATTGTCTCATTTTTTTCATTGCACATAGGACAGCTCAAATCATCATTTATTCCCTAGTTGTTCAATCTGTCTCTTGTGAGCAGCCTTCCCTGTATAGCCAAGTTTAGCACAAATAACCATTTTGGAGCTCCTACATTGTTGCAAGTTAACCTTCTCCAAGTCACTTTCTGAAATTCACCTCTCATGGTATTGTATAATTTTTTAATCGGTAGAGTCTTCCACCCAGCTACTTCATTCACAGTTAGTCCAATTTCTTCAAAGTACTTCTTATCCTTGATAATCTTTTGAACTATCCAAGATGCATTCTTAGGATTAGTTTCCCATACAGTTTGCCTCTTACCATAGTACATATGAATCCATTGCACCCAAAGCTTGTCCTTCTTCTTGCAGAGATTCCATAATAATTTGCAGATTGCAGCCCTATTCCATGTTGATACTTCCAGTACATTGTAGCCTCCAACAGTTTTTGGCATACAAACTCTCTCCCAAGCTAGAAGAGCTTTTGTTGATGTATCCACTCCCCCTGTCCATAAAAAGGTTCTGGACACAGCTTCTATCTTCTTTATCAACTTTTTAGGCAGCACATATATCTGCGACCAATATATTTGTATGGAGAATAGCACAGTTTTGATTAGTTGCAACCTTCCAGCATATGATAGATATCTTGATGTCCAGGCTGTTATTCGACCAAGGATTTTATCCACCAATGGTTGACATTGAGCTATTGATATCCTCTTGGTGCTAAGAGGTATCCCCAGGTACTTGAAAGGTAACTCCCCTTTGGAAAATCCCACAGCTTGTAGAATCTTCAGTTGAACTTCATGTGGAACACCTCCAAAGTATATGGAACTCTTAGCAACATTTGCTTTAAGTCCAGATGCTTTAGAGAATTCCTTGAAACATTCATACATCATTTGCACAGACACAGTATCTCCCCTACAGAACAATACCAAATCATCTGCAAAACCAAGCTGAGTGATGTTCAGCTTATCACATCTGGGGTGAAAATTGAAGCTAGGATCATTCCTCAACTTCTTCAAATTCCTAGTAAGATATTCCATGCCAAGTACAAACAAATAAGGTGACATTGGGTCGTAGTCCTTTCCTAGCTTGAAATGGTTCAGTAGGATTCCCATTTATAAGGATTGAATAGGACACAGTACTCACACACTTCATCACCTATTGAACAAACTTCTCAGGAATATTCATACTTATTAAGACTTGTTTAAGGAACTCCCATTCTATTGAGTCATACGCCTTCTGCAAATCTAACTTCATCATGCATCTAGGTAAGATACCCTTCCTTCTATATCCCTTTACTAACTCATGACTCAGGATTATATTATCAGCAATTACTCTTCCTGGCACAAAACCTGACTGGCTGTTATCAATTAAATGATCCATTACCTCTTGCAACCTATTAATCAGAATCATAGAGATAATTTTGTACAGAACTGTGCAGCAAGATATAGGGCTAAAATCCCTGATGGTTGAAGGATGGTGCACCTTAGGTATTAGAGTGACTGTTGTTACATTGACAGGTCGATACATATCCCCTGTAGTAAAGAAATGCTAGACTGCCTTTGTGATCTCCTTACCAATGATACCCCATGATTTTTTGAAGAAAAATAAATTGAATCTATCACATCCCGGTGCTTTTAAATCATCAATATTCTTCAAAGCATTGTACACTTCCTCTTCTCTGACAGGTTCTATGAGTTTCAACTGTTGCTTTCTATTTAGCATCTTCCCTTCCTTCATAACTCTCGGATGAATGGCTGGTAGGGCTGTTGCTGATGATCCAAGTAGCTCTTTGTAAAAATCTACAATCTCCTTTTCAATTGCTTCCATAGTCTGAACTATTTCTCCTGTAGTAGTCATCAGACTTCTGATCTTGGTTTGGCTAATTCTGCTCTTCATATTGGCAAAGAAGAAAGCAGAATTTGAGTCACCCAATTTCAACCATTGATTTTTGGATTTTTGTTTAAAAATACTTTCTTCAATGTTGACCCATTTCTCCAGTTGTTTCTTCAATCCCTTCTCCTCTTCGAACAATCTTGCTTGCTGATAGTTATTTCTGATTTTCTCTTGTATTTCTTGTAATTGCTGCCTGGCATGTTTCACCTTTTTGTCAACTGCTGCAAACTCAGTTGTATTCAGTTTCTTTAACTCTCCTTTTACTGCTTTCAATTTCCTCCATATTCCTGACATTTGTGCTGTTTCCTTTCCTGTCCAGGCATTTGTTACAATTTGTAAGAACTCTTTATGGTCTGCCAGATGGTTAAAAAACCTAAAAGGTCTGAAGTTCTGTGGCTCTTCTCCAAATTTGATACAAAGAGGGGAGTGATCTGAGAAATAGGGGTTCATAACCATAGCATCCAAATGTGGCATCTTTGTTATCCACTCGGAGTTGACCACTACCCTATCAATTCTGCTAAACACATGTGAATTTGTCCGTGTAAAACTTCTTCCCACTATTCTCATTTCAGTCATCCCTGCCTTCAGCATGAATTCTTTGAAGTCTCTAACTTCCCATTCCTGTATTGGACTTCCATTACTTCTATCATCTTCTGATAATACTGCATTAAAATCACCCATACAGAGCCAAGGTTTTTGTTGAGTGTGACTCCAGCTTAGCAAATCAGCCCATAAGCTCTTCCTTGCATCTACTGTGTGGAGCCCATATATAGCTGTGAAGGTGAACTCCTGCCTGCTAGCCAATAATGTTGCCTCTCCATGAATATATTGTGGTTTGTAGCTTATTGTAGTATATGCAACTTCATTTGGTTCCCATACAATCCATATCCTACCTTTACCTCCAGATTCATAATTTGTGCACCATTTCCACTGAGGGGCTATTTAATTTTGCTTGAGTACTTCTCTTGCACCCTATGTTCTACTATAGCAATAATACTAACCTTATTCTCTCGGATGAACCTCTGCATCTCCTTTTGCTTATAGGCTTTATTCAAGCCTCTAACATTCCATATGACCAACATCATAACATATTTGGTCTGGAAAAATAGCCTCCTCCATCCTTCCACGACTACATTGTCCTCCTTCCATCCTTCCAGTATTAATGTTTATCTGTTGAGTACTTGCTCTGGTAAGTGCAGTAAAGCCATTTCCCATAACCAGTCTCTCTTCAGTAGTAGTGACATGACTCTGTTTAGCTGCAGATTTACCCCTTACCTCTTGCCACTTCTCCTTTGTATCCTGTGAATGTTGATGATTCTGAGTGTCTGTAGTTATTTCTTGATTAGTTTCTGGTTGCTTTCTTGCCTCAGTATCTTGAGATCCTTCATTTCTAGTGCTTGGTTTGTTCTGTTCTTTAGGTTTCCACTCCTGTCTCTGCTTTGTTTGTTTGGGTTCTAATTGCTGCATTGGTGTCTTGTTCAGGCAGTTATGTCCCAGCTGCAAACAAGTGCTACAATACACAGGCTTCCAATCGTATGTAACAGCTTGCTCAAATTTCCTTCCATTAGGATCTTTCACTGTTATCTTCATAGGTAGAGGTCTTGTAATATCCATCTCTACAAGGATTCTAGCATATGATATCCTCTCTACTTTGGTAGTGCATTCATCAGCATAGATTGGTGTCCCTAATCCACTTCCAATTCGACTCAAAGAATCAGCTCCCCAGCAGTTTAGATGCAGGTTTGGCAGTTTTACCCATAAAGGTAAGGTCTTCAATACTTCTTCCTCAAAATCAAAATCAGGAGCCCATGCCTTAGTAATAACTGGCCTACTGTTGATTGTACTTGGCCCTGAGTATAATACTTCATTCCTTTCTTCTATACTACTAAATTTAACAACAAAGTAGCCTTCGTTACGGTAGTATACCTTTGGTTTTGTTACAAAATTCCATTTAAAAGCAATGAACCTTTCCACAGCTCCAATACTAGGTGTATCTCTGACAACATACATGATTACTGCCATCTTCCACTTCTCTGTTTCTTTCTCAACTTCCTCTTGCTGTAATTCAACTATTTTCTCCCCATTTTGTATCATTGGAGGTACATATGTGAGCCCCATTCCCCTAGCCGCATAGGTATTCCCTGCTACTAGGTTTGCCTAGGAATTGGGTCCAGCAGTGGTTTTTGCTTCTGTTGCTTTAACTGTCTCATACTTTGCATCTGTAATTCCTTTGTTTGTCGCTTGACCTTTCTCCATACCCTGCATATCTCCTCTAGGATTTGTGCTCGTTTGTACTGGAACACTTGATCCTTCTTTTTGTTGTTTTGTTGCCAGCATTTCCCCCAATTTCCATTAATTGATTCCTGTTATTGCTAGGGCTTACAATTTCCCTCGCATCCATTTCACTTCCATTCCCTTTCGATCCTTGCCCTTCAGTCTGTTTTCCATCTACTTGCTTGTTTTTACTTCCACTTTCTGAGTTTCGACTTGCATTTGAAGCGCTTATTATCAGTCCCCCGCTTGGTATCAGTGTGTTCAAATCCTTTCCTCGAATTAGGGCTCCTTGTGGTGTTGATTGTTTCTCCGCCTCTCCCTTTCTACTCGCCGATGTGATGAATTCCGATAATGGAACCTTCGTATTATTTTTCTTGGGTCTTCCTCTACCTCCCAGGGTTGTGTGCGCAAGATAGCAATCACGCTAAGCTACGCCGAGAGCATGTAGAGAGAAAAAAAAACTCCAACCTTGTTTTGATTTCAACACCAAATATTTTCTTGGGTCCGAAAATTTTTTAAGAAAAAGTACTAGTATGATTCATGATAACTCGACGGATCGCACGGCCATCGTGTCGGGGACGCATCATTCAAAAATATTATTATTAATAATAAGTAACGGAAGTCATTTTTCTTAAAAAATACTAGTACTTTTTTGGTAACTAATTAGCACCAAAATAACTTTCTCATAAAAAATATTTTACAATAAATGACTTCTGTCTTACCAAATGCAAATAGAAATTCTCATGTTAAAGAATATTCTTTTTTTATTTTTCCAAGAGAAAATCCTAAAATGCTAGGTCGGAAAAAAGGAAGATTAATCCAAGATTTAAGAGATAGGAAAGAACATAATATTCTAACCTGTAACTGATTGGCAAAGGTATCACTGAGATCAGTGATGAGTTCAGGTGCACATATATTGTAGGGATTTTTCCTTCCTATACCATATATGAAAGTTTATTACCAAAAATGTACATATTTTGTATATTACCCGCCCAGACCACATTTTACCTATAAAATTTGTACCATTCGAAAATCAGGCATTAATGGATCAGAATATTCCTTAAAAACGCTCTAAAATTAAGGAGAGATTCTTGGTGATAATTGATTCTACATTAAATTCAATCTTTAAAAAGGGAAAGGAGATTTCATATATGCGATTTTTTCTCCAGAACTATAATTCAAATTCTGAAGGGAAAAAAACGAACAGATATTGAACTACTAACAGCTACAAAAACTACGAAAATATTCAACTACTAACAGCTTCTAAGATTTACCAATTAAATGGACATAAACATAAAGTGGAGAGTTCAAAGGCAGATCATTGACAATAACTTAAAGAAGGGAGAAAAAAACAAAAATGAGGAGAAAAAAACAAAAATGAGAAGAAAAAAATAACAGCAATGGATCTTCTTAGTTTTATGATATTATCTACAAATTTACTACATATATCTACAATTTGACTATAATTTCTTTATTTGGTACAGGAAAAAAATATTTTAATATACAATGTCTCTAGATTGTAGATAAATTGTAGGCAAATTGTAGTTTACTTATAGTTTATAGTTAATTTGTAGATAAATTGTAGATAAAATGTAGATATATTGTAGATACTATACTTTTAATATTGCAAATTTTTTCTTTGTGTTTGTTCTGAAAATGTAGGTGAGGGCTTCAACAGATCATATACATACTGTGTTGGATGGTGTGAAGCGGTACATTGTGTGTCTAGAAAACAAGAAATGTAGTTGTGGCCAATTCCAACTTGAAGAACTTCCATGTGTAAATTGTTTCCAGATTGTAGTTATAATGTAGGTTAAATGTAGTTAATTTGTAGTTTTTGTAAAATTTTGCAGACAATTTGCAGATTAATTGTGGATGTCACATTTCTACAATTTGCTCTTCATCTACAAAATTTCTACAAAAAACTACAAATATTTACCTAGTTTTTGGGTGATTATATTTTTTTCAAAGTTGAAGTGTTTGGCCAAGGTTTTAGAAGAAAAAAAAATATTTTTGAGGAGAAGCAGAAGCAATTTTGGAACAGAAAAAATAGCTTTCCGAAAAATAATTAGAAATAGTTTTTAAAAGCCTGCCCAAATACTAATTGATGGTCAAAATGCTTTTCAAATTAATTAATTAAAAAATAATTATTTTTCACCTAAAGTACTTTTAATAAAAATACTTTAAAAAAACACTGATTTCGATCGACATGAGAAAGTAATTAAAAATCAATAACAAAATAAGCCAAATGAAAGTGCAAAACAGAAAAGAAGAAGAAAATAGATCAACGAAATCTGAATCTTTGACTTTCTTCAATCCCGTTTCATTCTCTCCTCTGTTTGTCATCTCAAAGATTCAACTCAACTTCTTCCCTAAAACAAAGAACGTGGAGGGGTATGAGGATGAGGGGTTAGGAGAGAGAAAGTGAGGATTAGTACTTAGTACTATCAAATAACGGAAGTGCTTAATTTAAGGAGTATAAAATATCACATTAATTATAACCTTAATTAGATATGATATATAAATGGTAATTTGGTATGCTAAATGTAATTAAGTGAAACCTTAAATATGGAGGGTAAAAAGGTTTCATAAGTGGGATAGAAATGTAAAAATTCCTATATTGTAATTGTAACGAAATTGGTCGAAGAAATCATTGCTTCCCACACTTATAAGGTAGAAGGCATTTCCAAGCAGTTCTGAAGCTATGTCATCATCTCCATATATTTCTGTAATGTTCTCGCATACACTTTGGAATTGTTCTATTTGTTGAGTAAGCGATACTGCATGATGCTGCAACCCTCAAAATTATGCATCAATATTAAATATCATCAGAATATATAAATGCAAAGAAAAAGAAGAATGGAGTAAGAAATAATTTAGAGTAATATTGAGATCTGTAACGACCCCACCCGTCGTTACGGGAGTTACCGCCCCGTTTTCCCCGTTTTATGCTTCTATGTATTTCATTATATGTGTTTGGAGAGTTTGAAGTAATTCGGATAGAGTTCGGTTAGAAATGAGACAATAAGTCTCTTTACGAGAAGGATTGTTTGGAAAAGTCAACCGAATGTTGACTTATGAGTTAGAAGGCTCGGAATGGATTTCCAATGATTCGACTAGTTTCGGGGGATGATTTGTGACTTAGGAGCGCAATCGGAATTGAATTTGGAGGTCCGGTGTAGAATTAGGCTTGAATTGGCTAAGGTTGGATTTTGGCGAATTTCGGATGGTAGGTGAGATTTTGATCCGAGGGTCGGAATGGAATTCCGAGAGTTGCAGTAGCTCCGTTAGGTGATTTTGGATATGCGTGCAAAGTTTCAGATCATTCGGAGGTGTTTAGGTCGGGTTTTAGATCAAATGCAAGTTTCGGAAGTTTTAGTTTAACTTAGGCTTGAATCCGTGGTAATTCGATGATTTTGGTGTTTATGATAGTGTTTTTATGTTACGAGCAAGTTTGAATGAAGTAATAGAACATATCTGTGCATTTGGTTGAGGTCCCGAGGGCCTCGGGGTGAATTCGGGTGGTTAAACGAGAGTTTTGAGGTGTAATTGCAGGTCAGATTTTCTGTCTTCTGGTGTTTCCGCTTCTGCGGAAATGGACCGCAGAAGCGGGTACGTGGTCGCAGAAGCGGCCGTGGCCGGCTAGGGAAATTCCGCAGATGCGGAAGGTGGCTCGCACCAGCGGGTCCGCATAAGCGGACAAGGTGCCGCAGAAGCGGTTTTGAAGGAACCGCAGAAGCGGACTTCGCGTCGCATAAGTGAAGTCCGGGCTTCTAAGTGAAAACCGCTTAAGCGGAAATGTGGCCGCAGAAGCGGTCCCGCATAAGCGAAAGCGGGACCGCAGAAGCGAAAATCGCTGGGCGACAAAGGTTTTAAAATAATATTTCATCCGCGACTCTTTCATATTTTCCTCCATTGTTGACGTTCTTAAGAGCTTTGAACAAGAAAATTCGAGGGTTTTGACTGAGAATCACTTGGAGGTAAGTTCCTTGGCCTAAATATTCGAATTTATGGTAGAAATTACATGTAAATTGTAGAAAATTCATCAAAAACGGGTCAAGCTAGGGCTTGGAAAGCTGTGATGTAAAAATGGAATTGGGAGGGTCAAACGAGCTCGGATTTTGGTAAACTTTATATGCACGCACTTGTGGCGAGACGAGGAATCCGTTGGTGTGATTTTCGGAATTTTTCGAGAAGTGGGCCCAGGGCTCGGGTTTTACCAACTTCGTGAATTTTAGTACTTTTCGAGTATTTTTGATTGGGTTATGTTTCTTTAACCCATATTTATGTATTCGTTGTGATTTTGACTAGATTCGACGCGCGAGGAGGTCGATCGAAAGAAAAGGCATTGCGGACCATTCTACGGCCGGTTAGAGGTGAGTAGTTGGTGTATATGATGGCCTGAGGGTTTGAAACCCCGGCTTTTCACATTGTGACGCTATTGTAGGGCGTGACTCGCACCCCATGGCAGGTGCGGGATTGGTTATGACTGGGGATTGAGACTTAGTCCATCCCGAACAAGAATATTTCTATATTGGCGACTGATACGCACCCTGTATTGAATATATCTGGGCTTATTGCCGTGTTTGGGGCCTTGTGCCGATCTGTAGCATCCTTAGAGGATGAATGTCATGTGATAGCATGCTTTGTATAATCATTGATCTCAGTCCTGTGTTTAATCACTGTTATGAAATGCTAAGTCACTTTTCCTGAAGTTAAATATCTAAAGTATATTCTTCTTAATAAATTGGAAATTGGGAAATTAATTGAATCTGTTACGTGACTCATATGCATATTGTGGACTGAGTATGGATCGGGCTGCACGCCGCAGCGAATGGTATGAT